GGAGAACTCCAGGAAGAGAACCGGAAGCTACTCCTGCAACTTCCACCGAGTCAACTCCAGGAGCTGATCCAGAAAGTGCTCAAGATACAAGCTCCGAAACTACTCCTGAGAGTGCCACTGAGACTACCACGGTAGCTGCCCAAGAATCATCCTCAGATCCATTTATTATCCCGCCAGAAGTTCCAGCTACTACACCTGTAGTCGCACCAGTTCCAACTACTACCCCTGTGGTCCCACCAGTTCCAACTACTAGCCCAGTGGTCCCACCAGAAGTTCCAACTGCTACACCTGTAGTCCCACCAGTTCCACCAGAAGTTCCAACTACTACCCCAGTGGTCCCACCAGAAGTTCCAACTGATACACCTGTAGTCCCACCAGAAGTTCCAACTACTACCCCTGTGGTCCCACCAGAAGTTCCAACTACTACCCCAGTGGTCCCACCAGAAGTTCCAACTACTACCCCAGCGGTCCCACCAGAAGTTCCAACTACTACCCCAGTGGTCCCTCCAGAAATTCCAACTGCTACACCTGTAGTCCCACCAGTTTCACCAGAAGTTCCAACTACTACCCCTGTCGTCCCACCAGAAGCAACTACTACACCAGTGGTCCTGGTCCCTCCAGAAGTTCCAACTACTTCCCCTGGGCCAGGTATCGACCCACCGGCAGAAGCAACTGGTATCGTTCCTGAACCACCCATCGCCTCACTGAAAGTTGAAACTTCTATCCCTGGGCTAGTTATCGTCTCATCATTTGTACCAATTGCACCATCCGATATTCCAATTGTAAACCCTCCTACTACAGCTATAATTATTCGTCCTCCTAGTACAGATAAGACTGTTCCTAAGGTTCCAACTGAACTTCCTGACGAGGTTGATCAAGCTGTCGCTACAGCAATAGTAGCTCCTTCTATGAGAACTGTGAGAGCTGAGATCAATATTTCACCTGATCATGGACAAAAAGTCACTGGTTATTCCACAATTGCTGGTTCTGGAAATACTGCCAAGCCCTATGTTCCAACTACTGTAACATCTCAAGTTATCAGCGCTACCGGTGCCGTTGTCAGACCTAATGTTCGAATTGCTGGGGGGTCCGCTAGATTATCGTCTTCCGTTTCCGTAGCAAACTGTGTGATTGCTATGCTTTCCGTTTTTATGATTATTTAATTATGATACTTTTACATTGCAAATAAACAAAAAAAATACTTATTGCTTGGTTTTAAGTCATTGATTGACGAATTTGTTTCTATACCTTTATTTACAAAAAAATTTATATTTATTATGTTTGTTTAAATTTCGTTGTAACTTGTAAATTTTGTTTTGACAATCTCTTACTCTAGATAACACTCATAAAGCTATCATTATATAAACTAGACATAGCTTATCGTAAGCTACACTCTCCATGCTGTAAATGCTTGACGCTGATGTAAGATTGCAACAATGCACGAACCTAGAACAGAAGATAAGTGCCAATCAAGGTACAATTAAGACAGCGTCTATGGGTTGATCCATATTGTTTACAGGCTTCGAGAATTAGAAATTCGCTTGACGTACACCAAGTTACAAAATGTTCTAGTAAGTTTGCACCTCTAAAAATGATTTTCTTGAATTGAACTAGCTAAGGAATTCAAAGACACGCGAGTTATCTTATCTCTCTCATCGATCAGGCTTTAACCATAGTGGATTGTAATTCTCATTTCTGATATCCGTATGATCATGAATTACATTATTAATTTATCTATCACCAAAAAATTAGATCCGGAAACTTCACCCTCAATTTCTTAGTCAACTATACAACATCGCAACTGCCCGACTAGAAAATCTTCTATCCCCTTATATCAATCTAATAATTTATTATTCATAATTTCAAAAGTCATTCTTCTTCTCATCAATTTCATATCCTTCTGACCATAGTTCAACAGTCTCCCCCCAGCAATATGTTTCGCCGCCGTACACGTGAAAACCCCGCAATCAGACCCATTATTCTGCTGGGGTGTTTTCAGATGTGCTATTAATTGATATTCAACCTCACCGAGTCCCAATCTCGCCGCTTCTGATTTCATATATTCATTCAAATTGGCCACAGCTTGGGGATTGCCGGAATTATACCTATCCAATGAATCAAAATATGTGATTGTTTTGGCCGTGTTATTGATAACAGCTAATGCCCAATGAGTGTTGGAGATATTGACGGGGACTAATATCATTTTCTTCTCAAATGAGTTTAATTTCTTTCGTTTTGCCCATCTTGCAACCCCCTGATATCCTTTTGATTCTAATGCCGTGTAGAAATGGGTTGTCCAGCCAAAGACATCGGGATATTCTTTCATGATTAGATTGAAGTAATAATCGATAATGTTGTCGTTTAACCACAGTCCATCACGTAGAGTTTGTAGATCTCGGGAATAGATTTCTATTTGATAATTGGTGACAAATAGTTGATTTGATGAATTCCATGCCTTGTATACGTGAGCTAATTGATCATCGGTGAGTGGTTTTAGTTTCGAGATTGATTCTAATCGCTTTTGAGTTATGATTTCTTGAATCAGATCATGGGCTTTGGTATATATTGAAGAAATCTTGTCGATATAATAATCAGATATAAAATTATCAATAATGGAATAGGAAGACATCGAGAGTGGTTTGGAAGGGATATAATAATTGAGGATTGATTCTTGATATGGAGTGGGTTTGGTGGGTTCTTCATCAAAGATAGTTCTGTTTACAGATTGTCGAACTGTTGATGGCATAGGTTGCTGTTTGTAGTATTTCATTGGTCTAATTGTCGATGATGTATCTGCAATGGATAAATCAGTTCCATATTGTTCTTTATGGGCCGCTTGTTGTTTGGAATCATGATATTTCTGGGTCCTGTTTAATCGAGCAAATGCCAATTCACGTAGTATGTCAGAACTACTAGTTGTACCAAACGGGGGGCCCACTTCGTCTTGTTCTTGATGATCATCTAATAATAATATACTATTCTCTCGTATTGGTGTATTCCGTTGAAGCAAATGATAATCATTAGTTATGATATGTTGGTTTACTTTGATTATCTCAACATCTGAATCAGAAGCGTTGTAGCTTTCGATATCTACTGGCTCTTCTTGCTTTGGTAATGTATCTTGTGTCGGTATTGGATTAGCAAAAGTTGCTAGCAATCTATTATACAATTCATAGATCTTGAAATAGCTTTGGATGAAATGCAACATCTTCACCAAAAGAGATGCGTCTTCATTGTGCGTAGTGGTGGGATTGTGGGTAATTGGATCTTCATTATTGTATTCATTGGGTAATCTTTGGTACAGTCGGCTGTCCAAGAGCAATGGATTGTCCATATCGTTCATATAAGACATTTTCAATGCTTAATGGATAAACTCATCCTCCATCCAAGTCGGCAACAGAGACGATTTTTCTGGTTGATCGTGTTTTATTAGGGAAAATTACATCCATACATCAATAGTGATTTTTGTTAGGCACACGTGACACTAACAAAAGTGGAATATGGTTGGAGTCGGTAAAAGGTACAATAATATTCTTTTAATGGAGATTTTCCACATGTCGTGTGTTAGTGTCATGTATAAGTAATGATTCGGATATGTTTAATGAACAAAACGGTTCTCTATAGTCAATTGAACTTTCTGGTGTAATTTTGCAACCGAGTTTTGTATGTCAAATTTTTTCAACATTTGGTTGTAAATTTACCCAAACTTGCAACTTCTATTTTATCACAAAGAACAACGACATATAAAAAGATAAACAAAGAGTTAGTTAATACAAGGACTTTTTGGTGAATTGTGCAATCCTTCTGACTTTAGTTAATGGAATGTCTTTTCGAAACTAGAAAGGAGCGGTGATTTCATATACCTAGCGTTTCCTCTGGAAAATAGCCTACTGCACGTTTTGTGAAGAGGGAGAGAGAGAGAGAGGGAGAGAGAGAGAAAGGAAGAGAGGGGGAGTTATTTCAGAGGGCCTCCAATAGAGCATGTTCGGTGATTATATAAATGGTTCATATAGGGTATTTTGTCAATTCACCGCATCTAAAATATTGAACAAAAATCTATTTCTCAACTTCAATATTTTGCGGCAATCGAAAATATATTCGCATAACTAAGGTTTGGCTTTCGATTTTAAGCCTCTTACAAACTTACCCGATCCATGGAACCCACATGAGTATAAAAACACTGACAAGACCTTTAAATTATCAGATATTATCTTCTTCGTTCACAAAATCATCAACAAAGCATACTATTACAATTAAGGCGGATTTTGTGCATCCAAAAAAAGTAGATTTAATAAGCCATTCGCGAGATTAAATTAAAAACAAAGAAATCAATCAGATCAATTTACTTCCCTCGTGTGCACTTTAAAAAAAGGTCACACGACTGAGCACGAGGGTTATTTGGGGGACATGAACAATTATAATTGTTTGCTTTCAATGAGGGATATCACACGAGGATTAAACTACAAGAAGTTACAATCATCATTTTTGCAAACAGTTTGTGTTCCATGATCGACGATGAGTATTGCTGTGGATCTGGCATTTATTGAATGCCTCAAGTCCGTTGTTTTCAAGTTTTATCAGATGATCTTTGATACATTCATGATCTATAGATCATTTCTTAATATCTATTCAAGGCAAAACTTTTATCGAACCGAATTTATTAATGAAGATCGGTTCGTTTCTCTGTCGATGAATTTCTTTCGCATCACAAAAACTCACATCCTTAACAGTTGGAACAATGGGCGAAAAGCGGTTGAAAAAAAAAGTTGCCAACCAAAAATGCACCCGAGGAATGTAATTAATTCGTAAAATCAATCAAGCCCCACTACCAAGCTATTTTTGAATTTGGACTAAAAAATGAACATCGAATTGTTAGTTCACTTCTTGGCATTATAGATAGCTTAAATAATCTATCAGTGTATAGTGGTTAGCTGTTGTTGTGATGAGATGAGCAAAGTTGAATTTGTAGATTCTCCTCCATCAGAAATTATTTTGGTGAGATGGAAGTCCCCCCACTGGTCCAAACTGGGAATAAAAATGTGCTGGGGTACACGTGGGTGCCTTAATTTATTTCTGCGAATTATTTTTTTTTCTCTCTTTAAAACTCGCTTAATTGCAAAAATTCTATTGTTTCCAGATATACAATTCATTAAGACATGAAAAATGTTATTGTCGTGACCAAAAGGTCGTGGTAATTTCAACTCTTCCTCCCATGGCGATGGAGATATCACGTTTATGACTTGTGTCTAGACTTGTCACTCTCATTACGCAACTAAAATAGAAAAGCGGGTACGCTTATTTACCCGAAAACTAGTTGATCATGAAAAACAACTTTTTTATATATCCTTGGAAGCTGGAAACTTCAAGAATCTGTGGGATACATGTAGATGCTAAATTTAGTACAGTCAGCATAGGATTCATGCAATATCAGACAGAGAGTTTGGACCCAAAGGAGAAGGAGAAGAACAAGAAGGAGAAGAGAAGAGAAGAGAAGAGAAAATGGTTACAAAAGTAACAGATATTTTATGTACGGCTACAAAAGTAGGTGCACGTTTCTTGTCCTTTTTTTTTTTGCTTGACATATCAAAATTTCAGTTCTTGTCCTCACAAGATGTGTCCAATAGAATAAGACATAGATTCCATGCAAAATCAATAGTTGCTAATACTTTACATCTAGAAGATGATTGTTCATTCTTCTATCTAGACAATCCATTTCAAGACACTGTTTATATGAGAAGATGAAAAGGTATAAAAAGAAATGAAGAAGAAGACACAAGATTGGTAAAAATTATTTTAATATTTTTAAGCCTAGTTATTAAATAATCAATAAAAATAATAATAATAATATTTTTACAGTGTAAATTAATATTTGAATTAATTAATCTCTATTCCCCGTGTAAGGTATTACTTCATACGAATACCAATTGAACAGCAACAGGATATTCATTTAAAAGGAATGCATCTCTCTTGCAACTAATCTCTCTTCCAAAAATTCTCTCTTTTTTTTACATTTTTTTTTTGTTTCATCAATACATCACCACTTCCTTCCAACACCCCACCACCCACCCCCCTCCAAGCAAATAAATTAAAATTAAGAAATTTAATTATTTGAAAATTTAATTGTTAAATATTATACACAACTTCTATAAAGTAAGAATTACTAGTAGAACGTAGGAGAAGAAGAACAAGAAGAAGAAACTAATAAGGATTAATTATCTGCAAATCAAAAATCAACGGTTTATAGAAAAAGATACAGCAAATTGCATTTGCATTTTACAGAAACAAATTTTAATTATTTCTTGAAATCTCATCCAATTTTTATTTTTACAACAACAACCCATTTTTCTTTCCCAAGATAATTAAGTAAAAATCCTTTCCCTCCCCCCTCCACACCCAATTACAATTAATCCTCATTCTAAATATTATGTCAGTTTCACCAACCTCAGGAAGTCTACACGAAGAACATTTAATTGAACAATCATTAGAACAAGAAGAACAGCCACCATCTCCATCAAGTCAAACTAAAATGTTATTTGGTACAAAATTAGAACGAGAAAGCTATCCTCCATGGAAACAATATTATATCAATTATAATCATTTAAAGAAGTTATTAAAAGAAGGTGTTATTCTTAAAAATAATTGGACTGATAAAGATGAACAAAATTTCGTAACTGCTTTAGATGAAAGTTTAGAAAAAGTTTATACTTTTCAACATGATAAATATGAAGAATTAAATGAAAAATTAGATGAATTACAACTTGAAACTGAACAAAGGGCTTCATTCAATGTTGAATCATTCCTGAAGAAATTGGATGAAATTATGGAACAAGCTCAATTATTAGAACATTTCCAAAGATTAAATTATACTGGGTTTATTAAAATTGTTAAGAAACATGATAGATTACATGCTAATTATTCAGTTAAAGCTTTACTTAGTGTTAGATTGAAGAAATTACCTTTCCATTCTGAAGATTATTCTCCATTATTATATAAGATTGGTACGTTGTTTCAATTTGTTAGAAATAATTATCAAGTTGATGAATTATCATTATCTAAATTATCTTCTTTTAATGATGGTGCTTTAAATGGTGAATTCCAATCATTTAAATTTTGGATTCATCCAGATAATTTAATGGAAGTTAAAACTACCATTTTAAGACATTTACCAGTTTTAATTTATAATAATGCTGATAATGATCAAGATGAAGAAGATGAGGATGATGAAGAGGAAGAAGAAGATTCTAATGTTAATAATCAGACTATCAATTGTTTATATTTTGATAATGAACATTTTGATCTTTATAATAATAAATTAACAAAATTAAATAATTCATCAACCCTTAGAATTAAGTGGAATGGGAAATTATCAGATAAGCCAAAAATTACTATGGAAAGAAAAGAATTTGATTTAAATTCAACTTTCCATTTAGATGATAAAATTGAATTAAGACAAAAATATATTAATCAATTTGTAATTCATAAAGAAATTCCAAGAAAATTAGCTAAACTTAATGGTGAAGCCAATGTTAAGAAATTATTAGATTTTATTAATGAACATAATTTACAACCAGTTTTAAGAACAACTTATAAACGTACTGCATTCCAAATCCCAGGGGATGATAAGATTAGAATCATTATTGATTCTAATTTGACTTTTATTAGAGAAGATTCATTTGATCCTCAATTACCTATTAGAGATCCAAATCAATGGCACAGATTAGATATTGATCAAGCTGCAAAACCTCAGCAATTCTTACGTAAAGGTGAATTTAATAAATTCCCTTATTCAACTATGGAAATTAAAATTAAGAAATCTTCAGTTAAAAATTTCAAAAAATTACAATGGATTAATGAATTAATTAATTCTTCTTATTTAGTTAAAGAAATTCCAAATTTCTCGAAATTTATTCATGGAGTTGCTTGTTTATTTTTGGAAGATGATAAATTAGATAATATTCCAATGTGGTTTAATGAGTTAGATGGTGGTATAATTGAAGATGTCCCCAGGATTCCAATTAGAAGTACCAATACCAATATCCAAGGAATTTCAACTGATTTAACTGTTGAAGATAATTTATCTAAATTTAAATCCATGATTCTTAAAAACAACTCAGCTAATTTCCAACCTCGTTCAGCATCATTCTCAGGTTCAATATTATATAAAAATGAAGATGATCTTGAAGAAGAATCAATCGAATCATCAATTCCACCAGTTGGGTCATCATCTACTGGTAAAATCACCACTATTGCCGAAGAAGAACCTGGACGTCCAAATGGTCCAAATCGTGGGATTTCAATGACTACTGATGATCAATCATCTGAATTTGAAGATGAAGAAGATGATCGTAGAGTCAATCCTTTGGTTAGATTACTTAATATCCCTTCAAGATTCTCAAAATTGGCCGATATTGATTCTGAAGAAGAAGAAGTTGATTTACCGGTTGGTGTTAGTAAACCAGAACAATGGATTAAGAATATGGGTCCAATTAAAATTGAACCAAAAGTTTGGTTAGCTAATGAGCGTACTTTTAATCGTTGGTTACATGTAACTACATTATTATCTGGTTTAACATTTATTATTTATTCAAGTACTATGAATTCCAATTTTGAAAATTTATCAACTTATTTAGCATATTTTTATTTTGGTTTAACTTTATTTAGTGGAATTTGGGGATATTATATTTTTATGCAAAGAAGAAATATCATTTTAGAAAGAAGTGATAAACATTTAGATAATTCATTTGGACCATTGATTGTTGCAATTGGATTGATTTTTGCTTTGATTGTTAATTTCATCTTTGGTTGGAAAAGTATTGCTATGATGGATAATGATGAATTTTATGCCAAGAATGATATGCATAGAAGTATTCATGAATTTGTTATTAATTTGGTTAATTAGTTTGAGTTTGACTGTGTTTTCCTTTTTTTTTATTTGTGTATAGTAATATTCTTTTTAAATGGACATCTTATCAATTTAAAGATTCTTTTAACTTGTCATGGATTGTAGACGTAGACTTGGAGAGTACATATTCTCTGGTCGTTTCGCTGGGACAACTATTGGTGAAGATTTTTCGAGCACCAAAATAGAGAATACTAAACTTTGAAGTCAGGGTTGTCAACAGTTATAGGGACATACTTCCAATACACAGTTAGTCCTTCCAGAAAGCTGATTGCTGTCATTGGATACTAGATATTCCGTTCTGTTATTCAATGGGTGCAAAATAATGAGGACAAAAATCAGCACACGTGATCCAACCTGCACATAACCACTCCGTTGAAAATTTCCACGGTGGTTCCTAATTTTGAAACAAAAGTTGTTCAGTCCAGGCAGATAGAACTACAAAACAGCAAGCATTAACCATGTCATTAAATATATCATTATATACAGTATCAGCCGTTCTAATATTAGACAATGAAGGTCGTCGATTATATGCCAAGTATTATCAACCATCATTAACTGATGCTGGAACCTCCAGTACTCCAGCTGAATTTGAAAATCAATCACAACAACATAAATTCGAAACCAATTTATTTAGCAAGATTAATAAAGTTCATCAAGATATTATTCTTTATGATAATCATTTGATCACTTATAAACAAACCAATGATATAATTTTAATATTTGTTGCTAAAATTAATGAAAATGAATCATTAATTTTTTCAACCATGACAAATTTATTTGAAAGTTTGAATATCTTATTAGATAATGTAATTGATAAACAAACAATTATAGAAAAGTATGATATGGTAAGTTTAGCAATTGATGAAACTATAGATGATGGGATTATTATTGAATATGATCCTGCTACTATTGTTTCTAGAGTTACTAATCCTCCAACAGCTCAATATGATGTTAATTTGAAAAATATTGATATTAGTGAAAAGGGTATATTCAATGCTTTGTCATTTGCTTCTAAAAAGATTGGTGAAAGATTACAACAGGGTTTATAAGTTAGGTTTTAGTTAGATCTACACTTCTCTACATATATTTTAATACAATTACAGATACAATTTTGCTAAGTGATTTCGTAGTCAAGTTCTTCATCGAATTGCTTAGACTCCCTTTTATTACTCACTATCTCTTGTTTTATTTATTTCATAAGGTCATTGAAGTGTCCAGATGACTACTACATTCTCTTTCCATTCTAAGAGATACTAAAAAGTTGGCAGCCGAAAAGTATAAAAATTTTATAATCCTATAGATCTTCCCTAGACCTTGATAGAGATTGAAGTATTAAATACTGCTCAGACACGTCTACTTAAACCTAATTCTAGTTGAGGATCTCATTTACATGAACATGAAGCTTTGATGGTTTCATTGCAAGAATAGCTGGTTAGTGTCCAAAAGGATGTCCCAAATAACCACTTTATTGCTTTACAACATGCCCAATGACTCTTGGCTTCAACCAACGGGCCCCAAGGCTCCGCTTCACCAACAAGAAAGATTACTAAAACTTGAGCCTGCTTCTTAATTTATTCCTCTTCCACATATGGGTTGGTGAATGTGGAACCTGGCCAGCAGCAGATACGACATTAATTAGAGACATATGTCGCGCTTCCGGCCAGTGTAAAAAAAACTCCAAATTTCATCACGCTTTAACAACCCATTAGATTTCTTTATAACAATAGCAATACAGTTTCCCTGTCTGGTATATTTGGAAGCAAGTAATCTAATCGAATATGGAAGATTCATTTAATTTTATGTTGCTAAGAATATCAATAGCACAAATATTAAAAGCAAGTGGATTCGATAAATGTAAACCATCAACATTAAATATCATTACTGATTTATATATTCAATATTTCACCAAATTAATCAAAACATGTCTTAAATGTAGTCAATTACGTACAAGATCCAATAATGTCGAACTACAAGATATTACACAAGCTTTAATTCTTATTGGATCCATCAAACCGAATAACATCTTACAATTATTTGACGATACATTTGAAGAATCAAAATATAATACCAAATCAATGGATTCATTTGTGAATTGGCCATTATATAATGAAAATTTCCAAACTGCCAAAAGATTGAATGAATTACTGGATGCTTATATTAAAAATTTGATAGAAAAGCGAAAATTGGATTTAAACGATGGTGAAACTGATCAACAGCGACGGAAACGGAAATATAAAGAACGTCAAGATTATTATAATCAATTGAAATTAAACGACCCTGATCATCATGGTCATGAAGATGCAGAAGAAGAGGATGATATAACTAGTAAAGATCGATTAAAGTGGCTTAATTATTTGATTGAGAAGGATTTGAAATTAGGTCATGATTTGAAATTTTTGAATACTTCTGATCCAATTATTGATGAATTTTTAAAATATCAAAATAATAATAAATTCCATCCAGTTGAGATTAAGAATAAAGATAAGAGAACAAGTAATTTGGATAGGATAAATCAACATTTATATAACTTGCATAAGAATGATTATATAGTGGAAGAAATAGAAGCTCTTGAACAACCAGAAGAAGAAGCCACCGGAAATGGTCAGACTCAGGAGGAAGAACAGCCGGTCATAAAACCGTCAGAAGAATTAACCAGTATATTGCCGTATAACTTGCAATACAACCAACATTTATTAGAAGATGATTTAAGTAAATTTCTTCAAGATAATGATGGATCGGACGAAATGGATATAGACAATGGAAGTCACGACCATGAACATGACGATCATGTTGAGACTAATGAATTGGTACAGGACGATAATTTATTGTTTGATCATGGTCATGATGAGACCCATGATGGGATGATCATAAGTGATGAAGGAATTGGAGGAGACAACAATTTGATGTTTATGTGATACGCTAATACGTGTCTTCATTTAATAATAAGGTTACATTTTTGATGGGATAAGTCTTCATTAGAGTACTGTAGGTTCCCCATCAACATGAAAGGAAGTCGCAAGGAACGAACGAAGTGCTGCAAACACGTGATATTGTGACACCATTCAAGAAAGCGTTGCAACCGTATGACTAGTGCATGGAGGTACTCGGTTTTCAATCTAGTGTTGTATCATAAAGGGGTTTTAGTTATCGTAGTAAGTTAATAGAGAATAAACATCCCTTTGGATTTTGTACATCGTGGGAATAGGGGAAAACTGACCTCTATCATCCAACATAGTTCTTATGCATTCTATCCTGAAACATGCGAAAGGAGAAACGAATACCTGAAAGGAGAGATGTGTTGCTACAGTTGTGGGAGAATCGATGTCACCAATTGACTTCTTTAGTCGGCGAGAAGGAATTGGCGTATGATGTAAATAGTACCCCTATCTGGACGCACATGACCGGAGCTCAAATATGAATACCCCTGTATCTCTCTACGAAGTTTGTGAATTTCATTTGTAGCCATACCTTTTTCGAAATATTCAGGACCCCCAAGTAGTGCTCCGGAGACAAGGGTGAACAGATCCGCTAATTGGCAGAGTCTTGCGGATGTACACTACCCCAACATGCAACCGAAGCTTAGATCATAATTAGCCTTTTCTTGTACCCGGTGAAACATTGCTTGTCTCTGATAAGACGAAATAGATTAGCCTCTTTGGGATGTAGCCATTCTATGAATTCTTTTTTGAAGTCATAGTTACGATTGTCATGTAAAAAAGTGACTTTATCGAAAAGTTTAAAACATGTTACTTGCACAAGATGCACACACTTGCATGCATATTGTCAATTCAATTTTTACAAATTATGCCATTAAAATTATAATTAGAAAACAATTTAATTGTGTAACAACAATAGTCTAGATTAGGGGTCCGAGTCAATAATGTAATGAATGAAGGAGGCTTCGCATTTATCCTTCAATTCAGCTTGTTGTGCTCTTTGTTGCCTCACGAAATTGAGATGGGGAAACACTTCAAGGAAAATAAAACAAAGAAGATCAAAATCAGCAATCACATCATGTGCCCTTATGTAATAGTTTAAGACTGAGCCTCGGAAAAGTTGACTAAAAAAGAATAGGCTATTAAGTAATTAAAATTTTTTTTGGGAAAATATTACGCAGGTAAAATGGTTGGATATACAACCATGAATCATGAATCATGAATCATCTTTTAACTTCCATCTATTGCTTTTCTTGACAACTGTATCTTGAAACAAAGTTTTAAACGAGAATTGCTATAGTTGTTTCAAAAAAAAGCTGTCACCTTTGTGTATAACTTAAAAAATGTGGTCAAACCCAATTATTCCCAATTAGGAAGTCAAATTAAACGCGTTCGCAAAAATAAACGCATTTCAAGTTTTCTCCGTTTCCCATTGTAGTTAAATTATTGTGCATGTAAAATCGAAAGTTTCTAACGCAAGAAACCCTATTATATTAACTTCGAGAACAGAACAGCCATCCTTCCAAAGAATGTTCCAAGGGTAGATATACAGAATCAAGAGATTAAACACAAGCAATTATTTTTGATTCTTGACAGAAGTGATATCATGCAAGTTAGTGTAGGTGAGTTTCAGAATTCTTCATCTGTTATTATTTTTTTCCCGTGATTGTTTGGCAGTGGGGGGCTAAGTTGTACCACATGAAGTAACAAAAACCCTTTCCAAATAAGAACACGCGTTTTGTACACTGTTAGATGAATGCGTTGGGTGACTTTATCATCGAACAATACTTCAACCCCTGAAAACCCCCCAAAACCACACACACAAAAAAACGTAATTCTATTTCTCTTCTTTTCTTTCTTTCTTTCTTTTCTTTCTTTCATTTAATGCATGCTTTCTTTTCCAACTTTCATTACTTGACATTCATTTGACTTTCAATTATACAGAAGAGAACGTATAACAACTTATTTGCCACCAAGTCCTCCGCCACCCCACCCCACGCCGCCCCACCCCATTCCTTTATTCCAAAAATATAATAAGAATAAGCCTTTGTAAAAGTTAAAAAGATTTTGTGTTTGTTTTGTACCTTAACCTTTTGTGTTCCATTTGAAGTTTAACTTTACTTTATCGTCGACATTTAAACGAGCGTATATAATCAAATATCATTAAACACTCCTTGCAACTTTTTTTTATAATTAATCGAGAGTGTCATATTCCCCAACATACAAGTGTATTCCCACTACAAATTAAAAGAACGAACTCATTATACCTCCCTATTCTGTTGAGTTCAAAAGTTTACATTTTTCCATTGTAACGCGTTTGTTTGCCTTTTTTTTTCAACAATTGCTTCCACACCCGAGTCTTCCATTTACAAGACCTCGTTGGTTTCTTCCGTTAATATATATTTTATAGACATTTGCAATATTATCCCCCACCGCTTTTCCACATTGACCAATCCACTGTCACTTCCGCAAACTAAGAAACGAAAATTTAACCCATTCACCATGTTAAACAAAAATTTGAATTTGTCCCTTAAGTTAAATAAAATAAACGACTTTGGTGACGTTCCTGGTAGGCCATTCACACCAATTGAACAAACACTAAAAACCCCTATAGATCCTCCACAACTTCCATCAAATGGATTACCACCCCACCAGGATTTACAACCGCTTCAACAGCAACAACTTCAATATTTTCAACAATCAGTCTCTTCATCACAGAGAGAAGCAAACCAGTTCTTTTTTGCACCTCCTCCGAATAGACAAGCAGGAGCTTTCTATCAAAATCCAGAATATAATGAATCAGATGATATATTGACAGATATTGATGAACCTTCCAATTTTTGCAAGCGAAATTATTCAATTAGTTTTACTAATCATTTTGATCAATTATTATTGTCTACATATTCCCAAATATTATCATTACCCACGACCACTCCATTTCTGGGGGCTATCCCTCCCAGTGGACTTGTTGGAAAAGTTGCCAATGAAACCATGTCTAGTTTAATTAAATTAACAAATTCTCCCAACCCCCCATTATTTGATCAACAGAGTATAATAAATCGAGACTATTTGAAAAATCAAGAACATCAGCCATTCTTTTTACAATTAATAAGAAGGAGATTATTGGATTTATGTAGTGCTCTGAATTCAAAACTTCCAGATGTGACGTCGGTTCAAGTATACAGCCTGGCTATTAGAAATTCATCAATTTCGAACTTGTCACTTAATGAAATGAATGTTACCAATTTTGCAAATGGTACTGGAAGTAGTACCAGTAGTGGTCAATCGAGGTCAAGATCATCTTCATCTTCTTTGAATTTAAGGAAGCAATCTTTGACGAGAAATAATAGTAATAATTGGTTGCATGTTGGAAATATGGGTAATTTAAAGGCTCCATACTCTGGTCATACTCATTTCAATATCAGTACTGATTCCTTACAAGAATCCGTTCCACAATCACTTATAAATCGCAGTGCACCAACAACAAATGCTTCCCAGTTTCAACCTCCACATCCACAATTTAGTTCAATGATGATGGATTATCAAAACAACAATAACTCATCATCACCACCAAGTAATATGAAACCCAATACGCCTCCTTTTTCGGCACTCCAAACACCTGGAGTAGAGATTGACGATTTCAATTTTGGGCAAAGACCAAGATCATCCTCAAGAGCTAGTTTACCTCAAGCATTGAATATAAACACTGATATTGCCAATATTCAAGGGTTGAACTCATTGAGTATTGGAAATGGAGGTCCTTCATATAACAATAGTAACACTAAGAGCAATCTGAGGTTAGATTCTCCATTCCTGTCATCGGTTCTTCCTCCTGAAGAAACATTTAGCGCATTTCCTATTGCTCCCCCTTCGTATAATAATAACAATATTGCATCAACGAATTCCTCACCACTTGGTGGCAGTCCAGATTCTAATGGTGATAGAATCAATACCAATGGGATGTATTTACTGTTTAGTTTGAGTGAGAAGAAACGCGAATCACTTAAAATGAAACGAGGAATTCATTAATGATGATGATTATGATGAGATATTACTCAAAAAGTTTTTGTTATAAAATTAGATTGGTTGGTTTTAATTTAAAAAGAAAGGAAATATTTACGTATTCATGTTTTTATTTAGTATTAATAGTTAGGGACATCTTATAAATAAATAATTATTACTTTGTATTGCTTTCTATAAAGAGGTTTAGATCATATCTGTACAATCAATGAGTTGACGTAAACTATTTGTTGCCCAATGTGAGTTTTTCCTGGTTGCAAAAAGTTTCATTTACTTTATCTTTTCCAACGAGTGCTTGGTTTTGACTTTTCTTTCTCTTGTTCTGCTCAACCTATTTGCAGATGACACACCTACTCCAGTCTCTTACCAAGACTCCAATAGTACCAGTTGAATAAACTTTTCTTCTCTCCCCAAAGTAGACTTAGCAAATTGTCATTAAAATTGGCAACCCTTTTTCAGACGGAAAAATAAAACCAACAAGAAACGCGTTTTGTTAATTTTCCAATCACATCGATTCTCTATGTCATCATCATCCCAATAGACTCCAGAGAAGTCAAAATCATGTCATGAAGTTAGTAATACCTAAAAGATTCAATCACTTCAAAGCATCAATGGAAGCATTAAGAAAGGAAACAAGCATTAAGATAGAACGATTAGTTCTAGAAATCCCACCAACAAAAACCATCCCAGCCTCATCGCCCTCATCGTCAGAAGTTGAAATACATCACCCGGAAGATATTCCCACAAAACCAGAAGATGACCAAGTCAGATCATTACTTCGACTGATGGTAAAAGGAACCGATCCCAAACAGATCGATAATCCTAATGTAGTTGCCTTATATGACAATTGGAATTTAATTAGTAACCAAAAATTACCAATCATCAATCCAACATCAATCTCGCCATATAAGTTTCATTCAACTCATAATATGTCACGATCATATATCGATAATCCAAGATTATCAGTCACAAAATTATTGGTATCTAATTGGTGTGAGTTGCAAGAGATCTATTCTATTTATTCAGGGTCCCCCCGAGTGACAACCAAGGCAATGGAAGCAGGTACTAAGACACATTTGGAATTGGAGACTCTGATTCATAAACTAGTCGATTTGACTCTGCATATTGCCTACATACAAGAGAATTGTGAAGAGTTATTAGAGCGAGACGACGCGGAGAGCTTTTGGGATAGGATATCTATGCTTTTGGAAAATTCCAGAGAGGGTAAGTTGGGAGTTCTGTGGTCTGATACTATAATCACTAGATTGTTTACATTGTTAACCAAATCTGAAGCTAGAGAAATATTATTACATGGATATTTGAATTTGGATAAACGAGAATTCATTGATAATCTTGAAGATTTACAATGCGAAGGGGATATCACTTCAAAGGTATTGATAAGTGGTATAGTTGATCATTTGAAATTACAAAATATTGAAAACCCTGCCGAGACAAATTTATTTGACTTGATTAATGATGTTATTGATTCTGAATTATCCGAAACTGATGAATCTGTATTATCAAGTATTGATTTAACCAAATTCTTCATAGACATGAAATCGACATTGCCAGGAAACTCCGATGGGTATGAATTGATAATGACAGATGTTAAAACAAGAAAAACTGATCTGATACCGGGCGATATATCTGTTCTTAAAGGTGCCAAATTACAAACATTCTATTATAGACAATTGTTCGAGCTTTTGAGTCACGACGCGACATTTGGTTATTACAGCTTAATTGAAAACGCCAAAAGAAGACATCTTGATGTTGATGCACCATTGGATGTATTATCCGTATTTAAGATATTGCGCCAGAGTCATCCGATTATACTTAAAGATTTTTTAAAGTTGGCAGATGGAGAACCAATCGGGTTTGCTCCTTATGATGAATATCAACAGGCACATGAAGTTGATGAATATGACTTTGGATTAGTATTCCAAGCACGCGATGAATTTCAACCACATGCTCCATATAACTATACTAACTTCGTGGAGAGATTACAAGAATTAGATGACGAAGTTGACTACAATAAAATTCTCGTACCATTATTAAAAATATGGAAAACTCCACCAACCTTAAGATACTTAGCTGCAAGATCAAGTCAATTCTTCAACTTATTTCATGATTTAATTGGTGATAAAACTAAAATCGAGTATCGAAATTCAAAATCAGGGGAAATCATTAAAACATTAGAATACAAATATGATCCAGTATTGTTTAAACTTGAAGTAGCCAATTCATGTACATTATGGACTGGGAAACGTAATCCAAAACCAGCGGATTCGCTCCGAAAATGTGATTTTTGTGAATATAAATCCCATTGTATGATTCCAAATGGTGGAATATCTTCCAGGGATCAAAAACATTTCACGGGAGCTAAAATTTTAGAATTTTTGAATGATATGTAAGACATCTTCAAAGGAAATAAGACGTTGTAGTTTAATGGTTTTATTTCTTCTGTAAATGCCTAAAAGATTGATATTTGGGATTCGTTTACCGAGTACATCTGATGGATTGGCATGCAATCGGTGATAATTCCCATACTTTTTAAAAGGTAGAGTTTCTACATAGATTTCAAATTAGTTGTTTCTTTATTTATATGATCGTATATTAATGGTACTAGTATGTACAAAGGATTGATTTGTTGATTGAGATGAAATGAAAAATTTTCTACAGTGGCCGAGATTTTATTTACAGTTCTGGAATGAATTTTTTTGGGAAGACAGGGGAGGAATTACCCGGCGTTAGGGTTGCAAAATAAAACCAACCAACAGACAACATAATATTTTGGAAGATAAAGATCCAACTGCCACGGGTGTCACCAGTCTTTTTAGAGTAACCTTTGATTATTGCCGCGATCTCCATCGGCTAGAGAAATCAAATGATCATCCCATATGTTAACAACGGGCACTCTGTCCTCGATGTTATAGCCGATTCTCAGAGATTCGTGCCTTTATCTGTTGCCAAATATAATTTGGCAACATTATCATCACGTTAGAAGGCTAGATCAGCATATTCACCAATGACGATAGACGAGTTATCTTTGTTGGTTTGCTTGATCTTAAGCTCCAACTCTCCCCCATTGTATTTGAATTACAAAGGACATTTAAGGATTGAGCCTTCCCATATTCTACTTTGCCAACATGGTCGTTCTGAGTTGCCTTGACAAGTTCAGACCCAATTTTCAAAATCATCTCTTCGAGCTGAAGTAAGCATTCGAATGAAATTCGCTCCTGAATTTTGATTCCATGGTTTTCCTCTTAGTAGATTAGGTTTTACAGCCATTTGAATTGGTTGTGCCATAATTAAAAGTCCGTAAAGGGTCCAAAAGCCAACTTAAAATATTTATTGAATAACTCCAGGATACCAAACAGTGAACATATTTTCATCTAAATTTAGTTGTATATGTAATACTGTTGCAACTAAAACTGATCTCAGGTGAAATTATTATTGTCGTGTTTCTTGCAACATGGTTTCGATCCATTACATTATACTATATTCAATTCTTTTTAGCAGAAAATATATACTCTGGTTTTTATCCGCAATTATGCAATGTATTGCCCTTCTTAAATTGGCCGGTTATGGTTAGTACGAAAATTTGGTGGAGTCAATTGTGCAAATCTAATCGACAGCTACATACCAAGCAGATACATTGTCTAAACCTGTATAAAGGGGTCAACTCATTCCTCGGCACTTACTCGTGTCAATTATTGACGAGTGTGTCAAAGGTGATCGGAGATTTTATCACATTCCGACATTATTTGCAGAATATTCTGTCAGATGCGGAAATATAATCCGGAATCAGGAGATTAATGTCCGAGCTCCACCCGGGAAATTCCAACTACTGGAAAGGAATTATGTTATTGGTGATAGTAATTATATTTCAGTAAAATGGGAGCAAGCGCAGTGAATTTGAATATATTTAGGAACCTCCAGGACACCAACTTCGTAGAAAAGCTGGCAATTTGCAGTATGAAATTGAAAATGATCATGGATAACTAAATCACCAATCTTTGAACGCAGCACGGAAGAAGACAATCACCATACACGCCAGAACCGGAGAAGCCGTGTCAGATATATATTGAAATAGATCTTTGAAGTCCTTTCAGACCTCCTGAATAATTCATTGGATTCAACTAGCTGATTGGTCGTCAGTGACTTAGTAATTCGAAGAATCGTCAACTCCTAACGTTTTTCTCTAATTATAAAATAATTCCAGTGGCTTCCACTATATCCATTGCCCAATCATTGGATCTACAGATCAAAGCGGGTGTCCAGTACCTAAGTAGCTATTAGTAATTGGAATATAGGAGTGGGTGCGTAGAAGCTTACTTCCCCGATCTTTCGTAATTGCTCTCCAACATTGTCTCCCTCGAAGGGTAGAACCAAACATTCTAACGAGACCGAGAGAAGTAATGACTTATCTCCTCGAGATACAATGATCAATTCAGCGATAACTCCCTTTGAAATTGTTTTAAGGTAGAGCCAGTATTAATTTCTATGTATAAAAAAGGAATGCTCGGAGTGATCCCAAATTAGATAATGAGGATCCCACATTTACCCTAATTCCCCAGATTCTTTGGTAATATTTATTGCCTGATTACTTTGGTTATCATCTGCATATAATTATTTGATGAGATCATTTTTAAGGTTAAAATTCTATCGAAGCTTATTTGCTACCCGGGGAACAAAAGCACAAAAGCTCTTGGTAACAGGGCACGTCATACTTATAGGTTTATGACAACGTGAGTAAGTAGACTTGGAATTCTTTTCCAATTGGATCATGAGTTAGAGTTTCGTATAAATTATGCGATGAAGGAAAATGGATCAGAGTTAATAATATTAGGGACTGATGGGCAAATAACTTACAATCCTGACCTTGAACTTATGCCGTACGCGAAACTAATTAAACAAGGGTCTCTTAAAAAGTAACAATCAAAAAAAAAAATAATAAAAAAACTGCAAAATGAATAGGACGTCCTTGAGCAAGACAAACAAATACTGTTCTTTTAGAACTGGCTACTCATGCGAATCGTAGGCATAAGATGAAGATCAACCATTTATCTCAGATGTACACCCTCAGTACTTCAAAAAAAAGGCAACACTCAGAGGGCATTTGTGTAAAGAAGACGGCTCCGATGTGTTTGTCGCATTGTCCAGTTCTGAAAATTCCTTGGCTATTAATCTGAAATTATTTTTTTTTAAAAAAAATGGAACCAGTAAAACTTAAAATAAAATCGTTATCGAACTCCGAAAAACCTGGAAAAAATAAAAATTGCGTTGATGCAAGAAAAAAAAACCGTCCATAATTGACTTCTATTTTCTATCATTCTGTTATATTTAACAAATCCACAATATCAACGAATAAACAAAGACATTTAAATATTAGGAAGACATCTTTATGACGTAGTTGCCCATGGGGTTGGACCTATTGCTATCGGAAAAATCGGAGTCTGTTTGTGTTTGGTTATTTGCATTCTCTAGCATCCACAAAAACTGTAAAAAAATTTCCCCGAAAAAATGTCTGTCTGAAAATTTAATATTTTTTGTTCCCCAAAAATTGGACTCCGAAATCTGGGGAACTCGAATTTTATTTGTCCACGGAAAACCAAAAAAATAATTTTTTCAAAATGTGTGCCCCAAAAAATAATTTGTCATCACAAATCAGAAAAAAATTTTGTTGTTTGAGCCGACACTAATTTACCCGAAAGATCAAATATACCTCACACTAAAAAAGTCCGAGGTTAACACTTTACATCGATAGTACCTACAACTGCAAAGATCATTACAACACACTCAACGGGAAAACAAGCAAATTTATATTCAACAAGATACAATTCTGAATATAATTCACTTTTATCATGTGCCCCGTGATTGGAAGAATTTTAGCAACCAATTTTTGAAAGTCTGGAGATTAAATACCGAGGTCAGTTTTTATATTAGTAAAAACGCGAAAGAATAAACGTAGAAAATCCGATGTTCAAATATTCATGCATTGAAAACTCTGATTCCGTCAATCAACCAATCATGATAACCTCTGTATCGCCGTAAGTTGATACATATACCAATTGAACAATAGGAAGCTTAAATTGTTGAAACATGTACCCACATTCCCAACCTATCCTTGAACAAAAATCTAAAATGAAAATTTTGCAAATCAAATTTGTCAAAACTATGAGGTAATTGTGGAAAATTAATAATCTAAATTAAAAAAAATTACAATGACCGTAAAACTTTCCGGTAATTTCCTTTGTAAAAAAACGACCACTTTGATTGGTGCATTGTTTTAATCTGTAAAAAGATCCATCGGACATTTTTTCTTGTGCGCATACTAAAACATTTGTTCTACTTTCTGTCTAACGCATATTTTTACAGTTTAAGTCCTATCAAACCGAATAAACAAATTAAAAAAAAATGTCCCCTGTGAATATTTTTTAATATTTTCCAAGTATCAAAGTGTACATCCGAAACTTTTTGTCTAAAGAGACAGTTTTTCAACAAAAAAAGCATTCACTATAAATATTATAAATTATTCCCATTAAATTTTTTATAAAACATTCAATTTAGAATTTCCTCTTTCTCCTTCTTTTCTTTCTTTCTCGTTTCTTGTTTTCTCCATATTTATTTACCCAGAATATATTCAATTACAATGTCTGCTTTGACTTCATTCAAACGTTCTTCTACTTTAGCTAGAAGTGCTTATTCCGCTGTTAGAACTTATGCTACTGCTGAACCAGTATGTTACCAACTACCTCCCGCCATCTCATCCTGTTTGAGTCCGAATTTATGAATTGAATGGTACAATTCGTATAGATTAGGACTCATTTCTTACCCTAGGATGTAAATTAGATGCCAGAGACGTCAATACTAACATCATATTTTAGACTTTAAAACAAAGATTAGCCGAAATCTTACCAGAAAAGGCTGAAGAAGTTAAACAATTAAAGAAAGAACATGGTAAAACCGTATGTATTCATATTTACACTAAAATTTCAGTATAAAAGTCATTTTTTGCAATTTGTTGATCCTTACCGGATAGATGATCCGAAATTCTTAACATTTTGAATAATTTCCCACCAAATTTCCATTTATTCAAATCACCCGGATCAATATCAATAGGTTCCGACACAACCATACTACCAATTGCATGTCTTGTGTCATTTTTCCATTGCGACTGCAAAATCCTCTGGTTTTTTATGGTTAATGCCGACAGAAAAATTTTTTTTTTTGGTGTCTGTTTGTTTGAGAATAAAAAATATCTCAGCTGCAAATTTTGTGACACTTTTTTTTTCAATTGTTTCGAAATCCGTTCCGAAACAACAATGGACGACAATATATGACTTGCATATGAAAATTTATCCAGACGTTCAAATATACTAACATTTTCAATTTTAGGTTATTGGTGAAGTTTTATTAGAACAAGCTTACGGTGGTATGAGAGGTATCAAGGGTTTAGTTTGGGAAGGTTCCGTTTTAGACCCAATTGAAGGTATCCGTTTCAGAGGTAGAACTATCCCAGATATCCAAAAGGAATTACCAAAGGCTCCAGGTGGTGAAGAACCATTACCAGAAGCATTATTCTGGTTATTATTAACTGGTGAAGTTCCATCAGAAGCTCAAACCAGAGCTTTATCTGAAGAATTTGCTGCTAGATCCGCTTTACCAAAACACGTTGAAGAAATCATTGACAGATCTCCATCTCACTTACATCCAATGGCTCAATTCTCCATTGCTGTTACTGCTTTAGAATCCGAATCTCAATTCGCTAAGGCTTATGCTAAGGGTGTTAACAAGGCTGATTACTGGAAATACACTTATGAAGATTCTATTGACTTATTAGCCAAATTACCAAACATTGCTGCTAAGATTTACAGAAATGTTTTCCATGATGGTAAATTACCAGCTGCCATTGATTCCAAATTAGATTATGGTGCTAACTTAGCTAACTTATTAGGTTTCGGTGGTAACAAGGAATTCGTTGAGTTGATGAGATTATACTTAACCATCCACTCTGATCATGAAGGTGGTAACGTTTCTGCTCACACCACCCACTTGGTTGGTTCCGCTTTATCTTCTCCATTCTTATCCCTTGCCGCTGGTTTAAACGGTTTAGCTGGTCCATTACATGGTAGAGCTAACCAAGAAGTCTTGGAATGGTTATTCAAATTAAAGGAAGAATTAAAGGGTGATATTTCCAAAGAAGCCATTGAAAAATACTTATGGGAAACTCTTAATGCCGGTAGAGTTGTTCCAGGTTACGGTCATGCTGTTTTAAGAAAGACTGATCCAAGATATACTGCTCAAAGAGAATTTGCTCTTAAGCACATGCCAGACTATGATTTATTCAAGTTAGTTTCTAACATTTATGAAGTTGCTCCAGGTGTTTTAACTAAACACGGTAAGACCAAGAACCCATGGCCAAATGTGGATTCTCATTCTGGTGTCTTATTACAATACTACGGTTTGACTGAAGAATCTTTCTACACTGTCTTATTCGGTGTTTCTAGAGCTTTCGGTGTCTTACCACAATTAATCCTTGACCGTGGTATCGGTATGCCAATTGAAAGACCAAAGTCCTTCTCCACTGAAAAGTACATTGAATTGGTTAAGAACATCAAGGGTAACTAAATCTGATATGATTGATACGATTCGTTTTTAATTAATGGTGTATTTATTAAGTCATTTTATGTTTTATTTATTTTAGTTCAATCTTCAAGATTTGTCTTTTTAACAGAGAAGGTCTGAGAGGGTAAGAGATAGTTCAATTTCATTATATATTTATTCCATTGCAAAAGGTTTCCTTTTCTTTAGTTTATGTTCTTTATTTATTGTCAAAGCTATACATTGTATATATCGAGAATTTTACTTAGCTCATGTAGTCCTTCTAGTTCGAGGTTTCCCCTAAATTGTCATTAGCAGCGGATTATGTCGGGAACGATAAAATCTGTTGATATTGAGCCAATTGCACGACCATGGAAGAATTTTTCAGAATTGGATTCTTTATTGGTTGTAAAAATCACCCCCTTCCTTAATACGATTGCATTAGAATTACGCCATACATAATTGTACTATGTTGTTAGCTAGAACAAAGGTGCGGAGATTCTCCACTTTGTCGATACGACTCAATCAAACAAAACCAAACTATTCCAAGACTCTTCAATTACCCAAAACTAACTATGGGGCCAGAATACCCAAAGGAGAACTCAGACAACAATTAATAAAACAAACTTCACAAGACCTATATTCATGGCAACAGGAAAACAAGACCTCCGAGAAAAATGGGAAATTCATCCTTCATGATGGTCCACCATATGCTAATGGTGATTTACATCTCGGTCATGCCCTAAATAAGATCTGTAAAGATATCATCAACAGATTTCAATTGATATACTATAATAAATTAATCGATTATCGTCCTGGATGGGATTGTCATGGATTACCAATTGAGATGAAGGTAGAGACAACTGATCCTGAAAAGCATAAGAATCGATCTGCAAGAGAAATCAGACAAGCTTGTCGAGATTTGGCTAATTATATGATTGATAGACAACGGATTCAATTTAAAGATTTTGCCATAATGGCAGATTTCGAGAAACCATATATTACAATGGATCATGGATATGAGATAAATCAATTGAAGGTGTTTAGGAAATTAGTGGAGAATGGATTGTTGTCACAACAATTGAAACCTGTTTGGTGGGGTTGTGATACTCAGACGGCATTGGCAGAGGCAGAATTGGAATATAATGATAATCATAAGTCAGTGGCTATCCATGCTAAATTCCCAGTTGTTAGTGATGAGCTTTATGAATATATTGAATCTAGTTTTGGAAAAAGTATCAAAAAGGGAGATTTAAAATTATTGATCTGGACATCTACCCCATGGACTATGCCAGCTAATAAAGCTATATGTGTGAATCGACATCTGGCATATACATTAATCCAAAACTCTGGTGGGAGTGAATATTTGGTAGTTGGGAAACTCTTAGTCGATGACATCCTTAAACTTAACGACCAATACAGAATTGTCGATCCTCAAATTGAAATCCCAGGAGATAAAGTCGCCGGAAACCTATACATTAATCCTGCCGCCAAGGATAACCAAACACGCCCCGTATTGCATGGAGATCATGTTACTGAAACGGCAGGTACTGGATTAGTTCACAATGCACCAGCACATGGACGAGAAGATTATTTAGTTGCCAAGAAGTATGAATTAAGTCTCGATTCCGTTGTTGATAATACTGGTCGATATGTGAATGGGAAACTTGCACGTGGGTTTGAATCATTAGGTAATTCAAAAGTGACTGATATAAAGACAAATTTAATCTGTGCTCAAATATTAGCCGATAATGATATGTTATTCCACCTAAACAAGAAATTCACCCATTCTTATCCCTATGATTGGAGATCCAAAACACCAGTTATCCAAAGAGCAACACCTCAATGGTTTGTTAATGTTGAAACTATAAAACCCCATGCTATTGAAGCACTTTCAAAGGTTAAGTTTTATCCAGAAAAGGGGAGTAATCGATTAACATTGTTTGTTGAGAATAGAAGTGAATGGTGTATTTCTCGACAAAGAGTCTGGGGGGTCCCACTTCCGATTATATATAATAAAAAGACCGATGAACCTGTTATGAATTTGGAAATTATTGATCATTTAATTGAAAAATTGAATGAATTCGGGACTGATGAATGGTTTGTTCCAGAAGAAGATATAAGTAGATGGTTACCAAGTGAATCATATAATGGAGCCGATTATTACAAAGGACAAGATACTATGGATGTCTGGTTTGATTCCGGGACATCTTGGAATACATTAAGACCTACAATGGAAGAATGTGCTGATGCAGAAGAACCGCTTGCAGACGTGTATTTGGAAGGTAGTGATCAACATCGAGGTTGGTTCCAATCTTCAATATTGAATAAGGTGATTTATTCAGGGAAATCGGGAGAAACTTATAGTCCGGTGGCACCATTCAAGAACGTGATCACTCACGGGTTTATTACTGATGGGAAGGGGCAGAAGATGTCAAAATCAAAAGGAAATGTATTCTCACCTACTGAAGCTATTGAGGGATGTAAGAAACCGATGACTCCATATTTAGGTCCAGATGGATTGAGATTATGGGTGGCTTCATCTAATTATAAACAGGATGTTAATTTCAGTCCAGAGGTTTTGAATCGTGTTTCTGAAGTTGGTAAGAAATATAGGGTTACCTTTAAATATTTGTTAGGAAACCTAAATAATTTTGACCAAGCTGTTGATTATTCTCAATTGAATGATTTGGATAAGTATACTTTACATACATTGTATCAATTACAACAACAATGTATTGAGTTTTATAAGGATTATAATTTCCCTCGTGTTATTAGTTCGATTAATTTACATGTGAATACCACCTTGAGTTCAATATATTTCGATATTTCAAAGGATTGTTTGTATACCGACAAAGCCAATTCTCCAAGAAGGAAAGGTGTACAGACTGTGCTTAATGAGATCTTCAAGACTTATGTTGGATTATTGGCACCTATACAACCACTCTTGACTCAAGAAGTTTGGAGCGAATACGTGAAAATTGGTAATAATACTGCAAGTGCCAGTTCTCCTTTCCAGCTTGGAGATTGGAGCAAGGCGTTTGCTTTGTCAGAATCGTATATCAATGAAGGATTGGCCGAAGAGTTTGAAGATTTCTTAGAGTTTAGAAGTGATGTTTACAAATTGGCCCAATCATCAGGTGCAAAGAATAAATTAGAATATAAGCTCGTTATTGAAACCAATAAAGACACTAAAATGTTTGAATTTTTAAAACGTAATGAATCATATCTCGATGATTTATTCCTATTTTCAAAAGTTGAAGTAGTTGACAAGCAACATGGTCCTACGGATATTGAAGCTAATTGGAAAGAAAATGTTGTATTTTCAATTGAAAAATCATCTGATTGCAAATGTCCTAGATGTTGGAAATTTAATTCTAAGCAAGAAGATCATTTATGTCCTAAGTGTGATGACGTTGTCAATTGATGAGTAGATTAGCATATGTAAATATAAATACAAACCTGTATATATACATTGATTTTTTTATTTTATACGTTTGACTGATTATGTAACATTCCACCAAATTCATGATGGTTTAAAACTTCAGTTAAATACTACAAGAAGCTAATTACGTTTGTGTAATTTCTATAGATCTTATGAAATTGTACTGTTAAAAAGATCTAAAGTGTAAGATCTTCCAACAATGAAATGCATTTCCTAAGACGAGAATAATTAATCTTTTCTTGGTGTGTTGAAATTACGCGTTTTTTTCAACGAATAAAATATTTTGTTTGTGTGGGTTGGACAAAAACAAATTAAAAAGCTTAATACCCCTTAGCAACAGAGTACAGTGCTACAACCCCATTACTTAATTAAATAAAATAAGTTATAAACCCGCTTTGTCGTATCTTTAATATTATTCTAATGTATTCAGTACACATGACAGCGTTTAAGAAGAAGATTAGTAATTACATTGATTCAAAACAAGAAATCTCGGAAGGGTATTTAGCCCTTCGACAACAATTGGAATTAGAAGAAGAAGAAGAAGATAGAGAATCATTAATCAATGCTTTTGATATCTTATTAAGAGTAGATGAATTATTATATGATTATCATGTTAAGAAATCATATCTTGAATTATCTAAATTAGAGTATTTCATTCAAGATGAAACTTTCTTAAAAGAATTAGAGAATATTCTGAAATCTTTAGAAAGAATGATACCATTACCAGAATTAATTGGAGCTGTCCCCAAGTTAGCAGTTTTTAGAAGAGAATTATTTGAAAATGCTAGAGAAGCAGCTAAGATTATTCATCAATATGAACAAAATAATCCAGGAGTACCCAAATTCTTAACCATTCAAGATATTAAAGAATTAAATCGAAAAGGACCCTGGTCTAAACCACCACAGGTAGGTAAAAAACCCCACCCATCTACAAAGCGAAACCTCCCAAAATCCGAACCGACAACAAAACGAACCCCAGCCCCACCCACACCTGAAAATTCAAAACCCGTCACTGAAAATAATCGTATTTCCAAACCATCCCTTCTTCAAAAAGGATATCCCTCAATTATCCACAAAAAGCGCGGCTCCGTCTCACAACCAAAGAACAACATAATCATCGACGAACCTGAATTCCAATTCACCAAACATCCAACCCTCACCCCATTCGAACAAGGAGGTTGGTCAAGACATCATGTCCGAATCATCTTCGATGCAGCAAATACCAGACAACACACCTCTACTCGATGTGATTATATCCGCGACCAATTCCTCAAACAATTGAATGTGAATATAACTGTCAAAATGGCGACATATTTATTAGAACATTATGGATTAAAATATACGAAACCTAGAGGAGATTTTGAAAAGTATCAACAAAGTTTTGATGATATTTATTTGGGTGTGAAGGATAAGAGTCATGCGATTCGGGCTGATTATATTGTGAGTCAATTTATGACGAAGTTGAATGTGCATGTGCCTAAAGCCGCCGCTGAATGTGGTGCGAAATTGAGGGATTTGTTTATGAAGGAATATGGGACTCCAACTGAACCGGCTGCAAATGTGGAAGGGTTGAAACATAAACCAAATTATCAAATTTAAAGAAGTCTCGTATCAAAGTTTGATACGAAGATCACGTTGTTGTTATTATGTAATTATATGTAGAGATATGGTACTAATTAGGTACGTTTTTGTAATAAAATACACTGATGAATTTTTTGAAATAAAGTATATTTACAACTATAACTTATATACTTAATATCGATGACATCAAAGAACCATAATCCCATGAAACTAAACAAAACAAAACAAAGCAAAACAAATCACACACAATTTTACTCTACAAACTAAACAAACAAACAAACTATCTCTTCCCACTCATCAATTGTGTCAACAATTGAGAACTAGAAGAAGGAACAGCAGAAGGAGCAACAGTAGTAGGAACAACCCCATCATTATATTGACGTTGTTGAATACCAACACCTTGAGGAATTTGTCCAGTTGCCATTTTTGGTACAACTACGTTATTATTAGCATTACCTGAAAACAATCCTGGTGGAGGTGGTGTAGATGTATTTCCACGTTCATTAGCTCTCAACATCGAAATCTGTTGTGCTTGTTGTTGAGCTTGTTGTTGTTGTAATTGGAGTAATAATAATTGTTGTTGGGCTTGTTTTTGTTGTTCAACAGCCGCTAAATTACCTTCTGCTTCTAATAATCTTTTTTGTTGTTCTAATTGTAACTGTTGTAATTGTTGCAATTGAGCTGCTTGCAAATTAGGAGTCTGTTGTTGTTGTGCTTGTGCCTGTTGTTGTTGTTGGAGTTGTTGTTGCACGTGTTGTTGCTGTTGTGCTTGCTGTTGTTGACGTTGTAATAATGCTTGTTGTTGTACAATTGGATGATTTTGATAAGCGAGATGATAATTCTTAATTGGTCTCAACAAAAACTTTTCAATCACTTGGCGAGCTAATAATGCTTCTTCTTCTGGTTTAAGTTCATCATTTCTATAATTTGCATGTTTATTAAATTCAAATAATGGTAAGATTTTCCCATTTGCATTTGAGAATGGTTTAAATTCAATATCCATTTTTGAAGGGCCATCTTCCAAACTTCTTAATTGATCAGTAACTGAATCAACAAAATTCAATACCGAATCATCATCAATATCAACTTCATCAGGAAGTAAAACACTATCTTTTGTAAGTTTGGTAAGTTTTCCTCCTTTCGGTTTAACAACTTCTTTTCTAGGTTGTTGTTGTTGTTGCTGTGATTGTTGTTGTTTTTGATCACGGAATATTTCACCCAATGTTGGGAATGCTGCTGAATTCGCCAATGGAATATTATTATTAACTTGAGGTGAACTACTTGCAGATGAACTTCCAGCTTTTGCCCAACTTGCAGTAGCTGGTAATACATCTTTATGTGGTTCATAATGATGATTTGGGTGATGATGATGTTGTTGTATTTGACTATTATTAGCATGATCATCATCTGATGCATGACTTTCTCCATCTTCTTCTTCACTATCGTTATGATGATGTCCATGGCCATTATTATTATGGACATTACTTCCCATTCTTGAAGAAGTACCAGTCATACCCATCATACCCATCTTAATACCTTGTTGAGTAGATAAGTCTTTTCTAGTATAAGAATCTGCTTCTTCACCCGGTTCATGTAAAAACATACAATTGGGGTTTGGACATGGATGACCTCTTAAATAAGACGAACAATATTTAGTAGTACCATGAGCAGCTCTTAATATTCTTCCATCACATAATGAACCATCTAATTCATTAATACATTTCAATGCATCTTCTTTTCTGGCAAATGTAACATAAACAACCAAACCTGGATTTGATGAAGAAGGATGATGATGTTGTTGTTGTAAATGAGGAGTTTTCTTATTAATTACAATTTTTGAAATCTTACCATATTGACCAAAATATTTATCTGATCTTAAAACAGAATGTAAATCTTCTGGAGGACAAGGAGGATTTAAACCAGTTACATAAACTAAATTTTTTTGAACAACTCTTAAACCAGCTAAATGTTTTTTATTAGCCATTTCAGTTTCTTTCTTTTCCTTTTCACGTTGTTTCTTATCACGTTCTCTTCTTTCCTTTTTCAATTGTTGTAAACGATATTCTTCAGCACTGATTGTTTTATATTCAACGCTTTCATCATCATATAATCGTCTACAACCAGGACATCTTCCATTTAATTCTGGATTCTGTTTGATATTGTTATAACAAAATTGACAGATTTGATAACCACATGGACATGGTTTGAAGTTCTTATCGGAAATATCCATTTCTTCAACACATAATGGACAATATTCTTCTTCACCATCGCTTATAAATGAATCATCAGTTGTTGGAACCATGTTGCTTTTCTAATTATAATATATACAAAGGGTAAGTCTAAAAGAAATTAATTTATTAAATGTATGAGTGGTAGTGCGTGTACTGAACTAATAATACAAGGAACTGTTAACCTTTCAGTTTTTGAATTGAAATTGGGTGGTAGACGTTTTGTTTCTGTTGATGTTTTTCTTGTTGGTTGTTAAATTTTTGGTTTAAATTTAAATTGTAAGAGAAAATCAAGAAAATCAAGAAAAAAGAAAAAAAAAAAGAAAGAAATCAAAAGTCGTGTAACAATGTTCAAAATATCGTTTGATTACATAATCGAAAGATCTAATTTTATCAACCAAAGTTTTTATTCAATTCCAACAATTCATCAACAAGAATCAACAAACCACCATATAATATAACAAAGAACGCAATGTCATTTTTTGTTGAATTGTGGGAGTCTATATTTACTCCAGGTACAACACCCGCATTAATTACTGCAACTCATATATCTTTCATATTATTAATAATTTCATTAATATTTCTTATATTTTTAACAAAATCAATTCATTTTATTAATTTATTAGTAATTGCTGTATTGTTATATATTACAGTTATATGGTTTATTAAAGAATTACAATCAGAAAAAGAAAAATTAAAAGCTAATGAACAATTGAACCAAGAACAACAACAAGACAAAGAAGAAGAAGAAAAGAAGGAAGATGAGAAGGAAGATGGAAAGGACACTACCACAGTCAAAGTTACCACAACTGCCATTCCTTCAACCACCAATACTCCAAGAAAGAGAAAAGTATAAAATGACATGTATATAGATAGAAATTTTGTAGATTTATTTAGATTAATATTAATAGCATAATTAGACAATAACCAACAAGTTGATTCATAATGATCCGAAAAAATACACTCTTCGAGGGATCATCTCTTAAACTTTACTTACTTATCTCATTAGATATCAAATAATATGAGCTTTAAAGATGCATTCCAAAAGTATATAGATCATCCAAAAGATCATCACGACCTTGTTTTATTTCACGATGAGAATGTAATTATAATTAAAGATGGATTCCCAAAATCACTTCGTCATTTATTAGTCATACCCCGTAATCCCATAATAACAAAACAACATCCATTAGATGTATTCAATTCAAATTATGATGAATATACAGGAGAAGGATTATATCAATTAATATCAAAATACGTCGACAAGGCAAAACAATTAATCATTGATGATTTAATCCAGAAATTCAATTTAAACCCCGAGGAGTATAGATTAAAGTTAGATGAATTTAAGAATACGTTTATAAAAGCTGGTGTTCATTCAATTCCATCTCTAAGTAATCTTCATATCCATGTCTTAACTCAAGATTTCCATTCTCCGAGAATGAAAAACAAAAAGCATTATAATTCATTCACAACCAAATTCTTTGTCCCATTCGAACAATTAAATCCAATATTTAATGAAAAATATTATAAACTAAACAATACTAATCATCCAATCGATGATGATTATGATCCTGATTCAGATTATGGAAGTAATAGCAGTGCCTCGGATGAGGATGAATATCGACCAAAATTTATTAGACATATACGACTCAAAGCTTCATTATTGGATATTATTTCAAATACGCCATATAAATGTACTTCATGCGATTCAACTTTTGGTAATCTGTTGGTAAAATTAAAAGATCATTTGTCGAAAGAGTATCAAAAGAGATATAGTATATTTGGTGATCCTTCTATATTGTCTCCAAATAATATTTAGAGATAAACAGGGATCTGAACAATAGAACGATTCTGGGATTGGATTCGATGCTGGATAACTTCTAGAGACAGCATAATTGCTGGTATTTCCAGACCAGCATTTCTACCTTTGATAGTCTTTTCAAGCTTATTATGAAATTCCAAATAAATGCAAAAATATTGAATAAAAATTATTGTCACATCAGCCCTTTTACCATCAATATTAATTTCACCACGAGCAGTCTTGTTGAAAACATTATCAGCACGTCCTGTTTGATTCAAAGCAATAAATTCTGGATAATACATCGATTCCATTGGTGGTATGTTGTAAATATGGATATAATTGATTTTGTAAATCACCATCTAAGACTTGTGCTCTCTTCATGGCTTGATCTAAAGAAAAACCAGAAATATCCCAACCATCAACAATTTATTCATTTGGATTAACAAATAGAACAATAGAATTGAATGGAGAGCATAAACATTTTTTTTCATTTTAATATACAAAAAACCTATATATAGAGTTTGTTACTAT